TGCAATCAAAAATGACAAAAAGACCTGCCTCTTAAAATGAAGTGAACACCGCAGTTTCAAATTTAGAAAATATCTCTCCCATATATTACATGGCTAGCAATTAAAATTCCAAACTAAATATTAGATCTTTGATGGTGGGTAATTGATAAAACAAGTTAACCAACAGGTATTTTCTCAATACATGGTTTCTTTTTCTAAGTAAAAATTAAGCCCTCTGTCCTACTGAGTAAACCAATCTTAAATACCATTTTCAGAAGCTCTTCCTCCAGCAAAGAAAGACACATACGTATCTGTGAAGCCACGGTTTCTGGCATTTCTGAGTCACAGAATCAAAAATGACAAAAAGACCTGCCTCTTAAAATGAAGTGAACACCGCAGTTTCAAATTTAGAAATATCTCTCCCATATATTACATGGCTAGCAATTAAATTCCAAACTAAATATTAGATCTTTGATGGTTGGTTAATTGATAAAACAAGTTAACCAACAGGTATTTTCTCAATACATGGTTTCTTTTTCTAAGTAAAAATTAAGCCCTCTGTCCTACTGAGTAAACCAATCTTAAATACCATTTTCAGAAGCTCTTCCTCCAGCAAAGAAAGAAAGACACATACGTATCTGTGAAGCCACGGTTTCTGGCATTTCTGAGTCACAGAATCATTTGAGACGTTGCAGTTCTATACTCCATGAATGGAAAATGCTTTATGGCAGGCCTATTTACACATTCTCCGTATCAAAACCGAAACGGTTCTGTATTGTGTACATGTTTACACACACACAAACGCGCGCCGCGCGCACGCACACTCACACACACAAACAAATATTGTTAAGTAAGTCCTCTACTGCGCAGTTACTAATGTCCCATTGGAAGGGCTTCTAGGTTTCATGGTATTTGGATAACACAACCCACATGAAATTCTGAGACCCAAAATAAGAAACTCTAAAGTACAACTAATGGAAACGTGTTGAGTGGAAATCTGTGGAGAACATGTAATCAAGATTCATAAACTCCATTCAATTTGAAACGTGTCTTACTTCGATGCAAAGTAATTCGGAGTTTAGAACCAGTTTCAGATATTAGTTTAATCATTCCACTTTTATTCATCAATAATGTTGCTCATTAACAGTTAGTTTTCTGTTCATAAAGGATATAAATAAATTTCAGAAATTTCCACATTTTCAAGCTTTTTGTCTTTCAGTCCTGTGCTTCCGACTTTATATTTTATAACGTTACCCAAGCGTTCTCCACGTGAGGGATGCCGACGTCTCGTCTGTCCTCTACTTCTACTTGCAGATCTCTGCTCTCCTGTGGGTCTCCTCTTTCTTGAAAAACGCAGTGTTCCCTGCCTGCCACCACTTTGAAAAAACGGTTCCTTGGCTTGTTCTACTTTCATTGTTTTTCCATCCACAAACTGAAAGGATTAAGTATACCATCAGCAACAGTGCCACATTTGAACTAATCATATTTTACAGACGTTTTTACATCAACTGTATTAACATTCTAGATGTCGTCTCCTAAACAAACACAAACTTTCTTTTTCCTGAAATGCCCACATTGCGAACACTGCAAAACCTGCAACAATCACTGGGACCATGCATTCTGTTAAGAAATGAACACCAATTCCATTATTCGATTCCCTCGAAAAGGCCTCCGCTACTAAAAACTGCACCTAGAAAAGTTAAACCATGACAAATTGTACGGGACAATGTCGCCCATCTCTTCTTCACAATACAGAATCTCTTTCACCTTTGCACTCACATCACATATTTAAAAGCCTCGGTGTCTGGAGCCCATACGAAAGGATGTGTCATTTGAAAACATAAGGTTATTTATTCAAAGTGATCAGTCACATTATACATTATGAATACTTTCTTGATCCTGCTGCTGTCAATCACACAAAATGTCCCAATATGATTTACAGTTCTGTATCTACTCTAGTTCTTTCTCAATAAACGTGATCCCTGTTTAGTCTCATTCATATTTTCTGCCTTACTCATTTCTTACTTTGCCTAGAGGTGTCCTTAAAACAAGACCCTTAATGTAGTACTTCATGCTATTTCTGAGAAATGGTTTACTGTCCTAATTAAATTCACAAAAACTTTCTTCAGTTCCATCTTTTCTGTAGGCCCAAGTAATGTTTGACCGAGTTCTGCTAATAACTCTATTTGAACGTTACATGGCTTTTGTTATTTGGGAAAAGATCTTAAACTCCGTCCAAGACTTGCTGCATCCAAATCAGCAGTTCTTCCTATCTTGAGACATCTTGTGTTATTTCTCGGCCCAGAATAATTTCCCCAGTTTTGCGCATGGTCGCTTCCTTCCCAGTGTTCCAAGTCAGACACAATTTCTTAAACTGCAAGCTCCCTGTGAAAACTCTATAGGATCTTCTTTATTTCCCTTCTCAACGTTTGTCTGCATATGACATTTATATTAACTTTTCCATTATAAAATATGTGAGACAGGTAATTTGGAAAAGATATCTACACAGATGAACTCTGCTTGAGCACGAAACCTGGGGGGAAATACCAAAATATTACGATACCTAGGTCAAAACTGTCCCCATACCAAGCATGAAACCACGAACCGAAGCAACTATCAGGTTGTACCAACCTTAAAATATGAGAGGATATGGGTGAATAAAGATAAGTTAGTGATCAAGTGATTAATACCTAATACAGTGAGCACAAAATTTCTGTAACAGACACTGAGGGAGAACACAGGAAACCTAACTTGTTCTTAAAGGATAAACTGCCATTTGCGCAACATTTACGTGGAAGAGTAATACTCAAGAGGTCCAGGAAAACATACTGGGAATGGCATCCATATAGCAGGAACTAAAACCGATTGGGATAACGTTGTAAAATAAAAAAGCTCCAGGGCATCTCCAAGGGAATGATCCTGAATGCAACGTAAAGGAATTCAGTAGGTAAGAGACTTGCATAAAAGTTTAAAGCTGTAACAAATACAGAGTCCCTAGAATTTAAGACTCCACAGGACGTGATGCACTGTTCGGACCGAAGCAAGTGCTGGAACACACTGGAAGAGTTAGCAAGAAGGTATGCATGTTACCTAGTGACGAGGTATGCATGTCACCCCGGTTACAGAAAAAAAAAAAAAAAAAAGTTCTCAGGAGAAGGGCGCAAGGATGGGCAAACATGTCAGTTGCTTGTTGTGTTATCCGGCTTCAATGTTCTCGCATTATTTTCTATTTTCAAGTACCTAACACTTCCTTAATGTAACGGTCTTGTTTAAATGAACTTTCTCAAGAATGTATTTTCAGAGAATGGCAGAGAATCGTTACTTCTTGTGAGAGTCTGTCTAGACGTCGATCTACAAAGACTTATATTTTCTACGTCTGTCTAGATGTCGATCCACCGTTTCTCTGTGCTATAGACGTTTCCCTACGAGTTGGACGTGTGATTCCTTTAGCAGCCATTTAATAAACTTGACTGATGTTTCTTATTTTCGTCAGAGTTCCTTCTAAGTTTTAAAGCTGTTCAAAAGCTTTCAAACCCTATTTACACTCAGACTGAAATAAAAACATAGAAACTGGATTACCATAACGCAATTTATATAATGTTCCTTCCAATATCCTTCCAACTACACTGCATTGATATGTCCAAGAAAGAGGATAGCTAATCCATTTCCATTCATACGTCATTATATTATTTTTAAAGTGTACTGGTACTGAAAAGACCTAGATATGCTGTTAATTGAAGAACAGGCTTAGAATAGCACTAATAAGGGAAACTTACCTTTCCATTCCACTCGCTGGCAGCAAGTTCAGCATCTGCAGGGTTCTCAAAAGTAATGAACCCGAAGCCTCTGCACTTCATGCTTCCATCTTTCTTCAAGACAACTAAAATATATGAAAACCTTTTCATTTATAGAATGGACCTACTACGATAGTACTAACTATCTGAATGTTACATCAAGAAACAAGAAAATTCCAATTCACATCCTTCCTGTGATTCTTCACACTGAGTCACCCCTATCAACAGCCTATTTTCTTCCATTTTCCTAACTGACTCCATCTTAGCTGTGAGCCTGACATGCTCCATTTAGCTTCTCCCTCCCTGCCTCGGCCCCCTAGAGGTGCATTCCTAGGTCACACACTGCATTCAAAGCTACTCCCAGTACCTGTAACCACTGTAACCACATCCTGTTTGGCAAGTCTACCTGCTACTCTCAATACCCTCCTCGGGGTTTGAGCCTATGAAAGTTCCCCCTGCTACCTCCTCCATGCTTGGATGCAAATACCCTTAGCAACCAACCATCCTGGGAACCTCCTGCCCCCTGGGTACCAGGTTCCTTATCTAACTTGCTTGTTCTGCATCTGTAAAATTCTGCTTCAGCTAGGCTCCACCTCCCCTACCTAACGCAAGGCATAAAGGGAAATCAAGCCCCTTCGTCTGGCCTGAGAGATTATCAGGGTGAGCTGTCTCTCAGACAAATAATGGGCTCTTAATTTGGAACTCAGAGTCTCCTTCTCCTTCTCCCTCCTCATCCTCCCCCTCCCCCTCCCCCTCCGCCTCCTCCTTCTTCTTCTTCTTCTTCTTCTTTTTGAGACTGAGTGTCTCTCCTTACCCAGGCCGAAGTGCAATGGCCCCATCTGGGCTCACCGCAACCTCCGCCTCCTGGGTTCAGGCAATTCCACTGCCTCAGCCTCCTGAGTAGCTGGGATTACAGACATGTGCCACCGTGCCCAGCTAATTTTTGTATTTTTAGTAGAGACGGGGTTTCACCGTGTTGACTAGGATGGTCTCGATCTCTTGACCTCGTGATCCACCCGCCTCGGCCTCCCAAAGTGCTGGGATTACAGGCGTGAGCCACCGCGCCCCACTGGCCGTACTATGCAGGTGAACTTTACCACAGACCCTTCACCTGCTGCCATGAGAATATCCTGAATACCGAATAGAAACTTCAAAACAAGAGCTTAAAAACAAACAGAAAATTAAGTAAACTATTACAGATATTAAGTATATGTTTACTTTGGGGACAAAACCTGTATGTTGGCTTTAAGGGTTACCTTCAGAAACGGGACCATGTCTCTCAAATACTGCTTTTAGCGTCTCTTCCGTGGCTTCTCTAGTGAGCCCACCAACGAACAGCTGGCCAAGGCAACCTGCTTCCATAATTTTGCTGTAAATGGTAAAAAAATAAATCTATATTTAGATAACAATAACAAGGTGAAAATATTAAATTTTTTTACATCCTGTGTTGAAAACTGATGTGAAATTCCCTTAACGGGGCTGTCCTATTTTAATGTATCTTACTTCCTATACCGGTAACATAAAGAGCACAAGGGGGAATGGCTTCATGGCTTAATGGTACATTTCACTGCATACCTGAGAAAATCTCTTTAGTAAAACCAGAAAAGGGAAGCTATTCTAATTTTACAAAGTGGAAATACACAGGATTCCCCAATTTAAATAGTTTTCGTTGAAAATTGTAGCTTTTATGAAGTACAATTGTTGTAAAGAGGTAAGATTCCTGATGCCAATGTGCACTGCTCCCTGCAGCCTCCTCCGGCCAGCCTCAAGTGATCCTGTCACATGTCAGCTTCCCAAGTAGCTGGGACTACAGTGGCCTGCTACCAGAGGTGGGGTGTGCGTGTGTTGTGCGTGTGTGTTTTCAACATAGATCCAGGTGGCCCCATGTAGCTAACAGAGCTGTGTAGGTGTGTTTGTGTGTGTATGTGTGCAGGGGTGCGTGCAGGGATGTGTGTGTGTGTGTGTGTGTGTGCACGCGCGCGCGTGTGTGTCTTTAAATAGACCCAGGTTGTCCCATGCTGACCACCTTTGAATCTTCTGGGCTCAAGTGATATGCCAGCAAGAAGCTACCAAGGTGATGGTTTCTTTAAGGGGGAACTGCCACAGGAAACCACCTGATATCTTGATAAATGATTTAATGACACGCTTAACCTACATGCTTTCTTCGGGGAGAACATTTTAAATATTGTACAATCTTTTGGTGATTGGAAATATACACGAGATCGGGTATCTACAAACTCTGGCTTTCTGCCATAAATATCTTTGGCCTTTCAGGGACCGGGCTGCAAATTAAGGGGTGAAGCACTCTAAGTCTCTGAGCCCCGCCTCCGTGAGGTCGGCAGAGGAGCAGTACTCTGGCCGGGAGTACTGCTCCACTTTTACAAAGTGGAAATACACAGGATTCCACAATTTAAATAGTTTGTAAAAAGGCACGCGAGAAATCTCAGTGGCCATCTCCTTATGAGAAGGTAGCATCTGAGAATGACGTGAGGTGCCACAGCTGCATGACACCATCCACCCTATCACCATGCTGTCACACACTGCACTCCATTCCACCCCGCTGCCGCCAAAACTGCCCCATCACGCCGTTCTGAGCAGAAGCCCCGCCGCACCCCGTGCCCCTTGGCAAGCGGCCGACTCTCCGCTCGGCAGCATGTCCACTCGCCGCCTTCTTCCCCCTACCAACCCCTCGTCTGTGAAAAAGCTGCCTTCCTCCAAACCGGTCCCTGGTGCCTGAATGGCAACAGGTTATAGGACCCCCGTTATGTTACTCAGGCTACTCTCCAACTCGTGACCTCGTCATTCTTACATCTTCACTTCCGAAAATGTTGGGATTACAGGAGTAGGTCAGTTTGCCAGGTTAATACAAAACCTTAAGCACATCTCTTTGTTTCGTTTCCGTTTTCGGCTATCTACCGCCATTTATCTCCCTTACAAACACGTCTTCCATTTAAATTACTTACGGTAGCAGAGATACATGAAAAGCCTTTCAAATACTGTCATCGATTACACGTTTAAAAGAGGCAAATTTAAACTGATTATTCATGGTTCCAGACTTGTACATACCCGAGAGTAATGCAATTTATGTGAAAATTTGCTAAGTCCTGTGAAGAAAATCAGAAATTTGCAATGTGCTAGGTAAAAGTACAGGTTGTTTGTTTGTTTGTTTTTCTGATCACAGTGCTTAAGTACACTGCCTGTGCATTTGACTTATGACCGCATTCACAGAGAATAACCGTTTCCATAAAAAGTGCACGGGACAACAATGGCGCCCGAGGTCCGTCTCCCACACCTTGCCCCCACATCGGACTTGTCCAACCGTAAAGGGAAGAATCCTCAAGAAACATCAATGAGTTTAACCAACATGAGTTTCTCACGAGCACTAAGGACGACCCCCTTCTACCGTCTCCTCCCATATTTCAACACCCACACACTGAAAACCACAGCAGCCCCTTTCACTGAAGACGTCCGAACACCTCGCTGCGTTTGTATTCTTGCCGAGAGACCAACCTGAGCGGAGAAACAAAACCACAGGTGCTTCTCAGTAGGACAAACAGCCTCTGGGTCACCGGGCCCTCAGGGTGCTGGCACCTGGCTCTGGAACGCCTCTAGCCCCGCTGCCGTGTGAGACGCCTGGAACCGGACTGCGCGGGAAAGAGCCCCCGGCAGCCCAGCGGAAGAAGCGGAAACTGCGCCTCTCCGCAGCAGCCAATCAGTGCGACGGTGGGTGGGACGCGGTGGGGCGCGGTGGGGCGGGGCGGGGCCGCATCCGGGTGTCCTGCAGCTCCACCCTCCTCGGGCAAGCCACGTGTGACGAGCTGTCAGAGTTTCCGCCCAGTGGCGCTGGGTTCACGCGCAGGCCTGGCGGGCAGGGAGCCCTTTGGAATTGCGGGCATATGGAAGTCCCACGGCCTAACTGCCATCATGAGTGTGGCAGGCCACTGACCCACAGCCAACACATGAAACATCTCACTTCATTAGGCAGGCCAGGCAGATGGTACTGAATGTTGCAATTCCAGAGGAGAGGGGGAGGGACCAGCGCGGGCTGCCGGGGCAAGGGCGGCCCGGGTGGCTTGCCGGAAGTGGGGCGGGGCAGGCACGTCAGAGGAGTGTCCTAGTACCTTGCCCTGTTGGAGATTATCTCCTCGGAAAACACCAGTGGCCAAATTCCACATGAACTCTCGCAGGTCTACGTGAATACAGGCTCCGAGTGTCATGCTCTCTCCCTGAGAATGCAGGTCTCCCAGGAGCATGTCTTCCGTCATGTGTCCTGGGCACCCGAGAGACAAATCAGCAGGGTTGCCCATAGATGGCCTGAGTGCATGCCGTTGTGTACTGCCTTGCAGACTCCGAGGCTCCTGCAAGAGTGCAGCAGCCAGTGGGCTGCCTGCCGGCGACGATCGTCTAGAGGACCAAGGCCTGGCCTATGGCTCCTGGGCTCCTGAGCATAGCTACCCACGCTGTGGCCTATGACCCCAAGGCATGTGAATTGGACGGCGGCCCAGCAAAACTCCCCTGGAACCCTGGATCCACATAGGTGTGAGATGTGGTTCTTCTCAGCAGAGCGACACCTGAAGGAACGTTGTTCCCCACAGTGTAGGGGTGTGGAGGTGTGGGCTGGGCGATGCAGGCCGATATCTGTGGGAGCCCCAAGCAGGGCACCATGTTGAGCCTGGAGGCAGAAGAGGGGGACTACTGTACAGAGCTAGGAAGTGGACTTGTGGTTGGAGGTGATGCTGGTGGTGGACTACATAATCATGGTTGTGGAGGTGTCGGCCGAGGAGGAGGCTGATGTTGAGCCACAAGACAAGGACCAGTGGGCATGGTGTCGCCCTGGCCCTGGCCCCTGCATACCTGGCTGGACTCACTGAAGGTCTCTGACTTGCAGCTTTGGGGCTTAAGGACCAGAGCTGTATCCTTGCAACTGCCCCTTCAGAATAGCTGACAGAAGCGGGTGAGCCTCAGGCTTCCAGAGGTGGAGTTTGGTGAAGCAAGGCCTGAGGTGCAGGGGGTCAGCCAGAAGGCGGCGGTGGGTGACAGGAGGGAAACCGAGGCCAGACGCCTGTAGACAGGAGGAAAGCTTGCTTGCAGGTGCTATAAGAACATGTGTTAGGGACTGGGACCCAAGCTCATTGCTAACAAGGGAGAGTAGCAGTGCCAGGAGCCCTTAGCACACAGCAGAAAGTTGAAGGGCATGTTTCTCCGGGAATGTCAATGGAGAAAGGGGAGTCTCCATGTCCATGGCAACTATTGAACTACCACCGCTCCCAAAGCCTGTTCCCGGGAGCTCTCTCCAGAAACACAAGGTGCTCAACAGTGGTTCACAGTGCACGGGGATTCTGTCTTCTTCAAGACAGGCACCAGCACCTCAGACATGCTTTTATTCTCTGCTGGCACAGCACCTACCTAAAGGGGTGTAAGCACTGAACATGTGTAACCTCCATTGTACCCATCAGAGAAACCAGGAGAATAGGACACCACATGTCAGGACAACAGCACAGCCTGCCCAGCACCCATCACACAAGGGCCACGTGAACTCTGGAACCCTAGGGAAGCAGCCACTTCACACCACAACACCCTGCCTCCCAAACCCACTGCCCACTTTTCTGTACCTGACCTCTGATGAGCACAGGCTTTCTCCATCATGCTCTACCTGGCTCCAAGACCATCACAGCCAGGACGGTGGCCCCACAGCAGAGTGAGAGAGGACCATCAAGGAATGGGGGGGTGCCACATCAGATGTCTGTGGATAGCCCTGTCCCATAATTCTAGTGCTGTTGCAAAGTTGCACGGTGTTTTATGTCATGCCCAGCCAATCTAATGGAAGCTCCTTACCACAGGCAGATAGCGCAGTCATACCAAGATATTGGCCTGGATCAGAAAGCATGATGAAGTCCCGCGTAACTTGTGATGGATTTGCAGGTCAGTCTTGGGAGGGATTGGGTGTCCAGGTCAGGGGGGACTGCAAGATGTCTCAGTGGGAGAGCTAGGAATGGAAAAGGTATGCTTCACTCCAGCTAGCAGGCTACTTTAGTCCATCTAGATGAAATGGTCCCTTTGGGTTTATCCTGTTTCTTTCTAAGAAGACAGGCAGGTAGACGAACAAATCCATCCAGGGTAATTTTTTTTCCCCTCATTTCAGCCTTTACTCCTGCAGTGAAGTGATCATTAAGGAGTATCCTTGTAAGGAGTCCCTCCTGGCACGGTATGGGAGACGGTATGCGGAAGGGCAAGCCTGGCATGAGCCTCCCTGAGTTCTTTTCTTCCAGGATACAGGGTTTCTCATTCCACAGCAGTTGGTAGTTCTGGGATCACAAAGGTGAAGTCCCAAGCTGCAGGCAGTACACCACCTCCCTGAGCATCTTCAGCTGTTTGGCTCACCGTGACTGCCCAGATTCTGGCAGGATTGGGATTGCTGTGCTGGGGCCACTGTGGGGATGGTAGGAGAGGACATTGTTGGTTATTTCTTGGCCTCTGGAGAATTCACTTTGAACGAGGGCCTGACCTGTCCCAAATCATTTCCCTAGGACCCCAGATCATGAGCGAGGACCTGGGCCTTAATCCCCTGCAGTGCCACCTCAAGGGAGTTAGGCACTCAGAGAAGAAACAGAGACTAGGTCAGGTGAGCAGCTCAGGGCTCAGGGCTAAGATGCCTGTATGTTCTGGAGCTGTGATGCATGTGGAGAAACCAAAGCTGAGGGAAGTTACTGCAGTGGGCAAATGCAGGCCATCCACGGACTGAAGAAAGGTCCATTAAGGAACTGTAACACCCACAGTTCAGGATGGGAGACGTTAATGCTGCCTAGGAGGCATAAGTGGCTAAGACATGTTGCTGAGAAGCAAGTATCAAGGGATAGCTGCCTCATCATATCTAGCCTGGCCCTTTCCCCACCCTGAGTCCTGTTGTTACCTGGGGTTACCTGGGGTTCGGTTTGAGCCTAACTAGGGCCCTCTCACCCTCAATGCGGATGTCTACCTGAGGTCCAACTAGGTCTATGTCCTCCCAGAACGGTTCTTCTGGACCAGTCATATGCTGTGACATGACCCCAAGCTTTCCTGACATGCTCGCATTCCTCTGCCATCCTCACTCACACTGCCTAGGCACCCCAGACACAATAGACCACTGCACAGGGGATCTGGAGGACCACATTGGGCTCACAGGAGAGGAAATGTGAAGAGGTGGCAAAATGGCAGGGGCCTTCTGTGCGTGTCCAGAGAGGGAATCTGGCTGGGCATAAGGAAAAGTTAGCCTAAGTATTGCTGTGAAAAGTCAGTGTCACTTGTCCCTGAGCATGGGTGCACACACAGATGGTTTAAATCACATTGGCATCAATACTGCCTAAGTGATCTACAGACTCTATGCCACACCTGTAGAAATATCAATGGCCCATTCTTCATACAACAGATAATAGATTGTTTCTCTCATTGGACTGAAATATCAGAGCTGTAATGGGAACAATACCAGAAGAAATCACAAAGAAGAAGCTCCGTGACATTGAAGTACACAAAGAAGGGCTCAGAATGACAGCAAAAGCACAGTACAAAATATGAAAAAATAGAGAATGGAGTCATATCAAACTAAGATGCCTCAGCTCACCGCAGAAAACTTAACAGAGGGAAGAGACTTTGCACAAGGTGGGAGAAATCATTGGATCACCATACATCTGATAATGAGTGAATATTTACACACTGTGAGGAACTCAACTAACTAGCCCGAAAACAAACGGGCTAATGCCGTGAATATTCATCTGTTAAACTAAAACATATGACTGCCCAGCCCGAATATTACAAAGTGCTTGTCATCCTTAATCCACTGGGCAAATGCAAATCATAACCACAATGAAATTTCATCTCACTTCCATCAGAATGGCCATTATCCAAAAGACAAATGAACACCATTTCTGTTGAGGATGAAGACGAAAATATCCTTGCACACATTTGGTGAGAATGGAATTTAGTATAGGGAGAGTGAGACAGAGAATTACTTGATCCCAGGGGGCAAATTTTGCAGTGAGCCACGGTCAAACCACTGCACTTTATCCTGGGTGACAGACACTTGCCACATTGTCGGAAAAAAATAGAAAGTAAGGCATAACATTTTTGTTTATTTTGGATTTACTAATATAGTAATTGTACTATGTTATATGAGTAGACATTTAAGATTTTACAAACATTTTTATGGCAATACAGTCATTGCTGATGTTCACTGAGAATGTGCTCTCCTTTGAGCAGAGCCTAATTGGAATCTGGTTTTATTACGAAACCTTGTCTGAAATATCAAACACATTTAAGAATAATTTGCACAGAAGCAGAACCAGGTAGCTTTAAATACTAAAGTTGATCACGGAGTCAGTATTATAAAGCCCTCAAACAAAAACCAGCCTGGTAATTGCTTGCACATTTCACTGCCTAAGAAATCAGAAAGAGATGATCACTTCTTTCCAAGCTCTTCAGAGAGGAGAGGTATTCAACTAAATCTCTGAAAGGCTCCCAAACCCCCTATTTAAAAGCAAACAAATAAAATTTAAAATTAGCCAGGCGTGATAATAACCACCTATAATCTCCAGTACTCAGGAACCTGAGATGGGAGGATCACTGGGGCCCAGGTGCTTGAGGCTGCAGTTTAATTTCAAAAGGATATATTGAATAAATAAATAAATAAAGGCTTTTTTGGACAATGACCATTTGTACTTCACTTAGGTAAATAATGAGGACAAATCTAGTAACACCTGACTTACTTTGTGAACAGGATTAGTAACTTCAGAGAGAAT